CCCACGCAACGCCACTTCGAAACGAAATTGATACGTGTTCCGTGTTGTGCTCGTTTCAATTCCTCTGGGAGTAATTTTCCACCGCACGGGGACACAACCGCGGTAGAAAACAAAAAAGACCGGTCTCTATTAATAAAATTTATTACTGAGCTCCTCTCCCCGCGCATCGATCCGAATCGTCAAACTTCTCTGTCATGTATTGAAAGCCACTTTATCTCCCGTGCTGCAACGATACGAGTTTCCCAAGGCGTCGTCGCCCAAGGAAAAGTTGCCTGCCTCGTTAGCCCCCATCTAGAACGAAGAACGCAGACACGCGGAACTCTTCTTCTTACTTCTCATTTCTCTCTCTCTCTCCCTTCTCGTCTCTTGTTCACTTTCTTCTTTTTTTCTTCTTTCTTTCGTTTTATTCTTCAGCCCTTCAGGTGGTGTGCAACACACGAAACACGTCCGTTAGCTGTAGAAACGACGACGTTTTGCCTCGTTTCCTTCTCGTTTTCACGGCTCCGTGTGTCACGGCAGCCGATACGTGCGCCATTTCACGTTTTGCTCTGAGCGACGACAAGATGTCGCGTGTAATTTCTGACTGAAAATGTACGATAGAAAGGGACGATAGATTAGGGAGGCGAATGATGAATGTTTGAGAAGAGATACAGGTTTTGCACAGCAAATCCAATATTTTGCAAATCAATTCCATCTGTTTGCAAATCAAATTCACCCTTTTGCACTCCAAATCCACCCTTTTGCAAATCAAATCCACCGATTTTGTTTATATTCTGTTCCAGCCTAAGGAAATTAGGAAAATTAGGTTGAGAAAATTAGGAAATTAAATTACATTAAACTAGGAAATGAGGAATAAAGGAAACTACTATATTACATATTTCATATATTCTTAAATTAGGAATAAATATACATTTTCAAATTATGAATAAACAAAATTAATCGTTATTAAATTATGAATACATATAATGTTTCTCCGTATATTATTTTCTTCAATCTTTCGTTAACAATGTTACCGTAACGTCTCAGTCAGAATAAATGGACTGACACTTTCCATTAAAACGTCTCTATAATATAACGTAATCATTTTATAACGTGATACGAAGAACCTCTCGTTATAGCTCAGTTTCGTTCGAACATAAGACTGTAATTTGCAGTTATTAACTCGGTCATAAACAAGTCCCCGTTAATAGAATTTACCCATTTCTGCATTTTTCTTTATCAAGACGTAATATTCATTTTCACATCGTTCCAATTTATTATACACTCGTGAGTAGACATTTAATGATCGCGACGAATCGTTCATTGATGCTTTTATTATACCAAAGCAATATTTACCTAAATTTTCGTTCATTTATCGTTGCAACTTTTGTTACGCCAAAACAATATTTACCCAAATTTTCGTTCGTTTAAGATTCCATTAATTTAAATCTTTATTTCTCCTTCATAAATTAAAAAAAAAAAAAAAAACAAGGAAAAAAGAATAAAAGGAGGAACAGAAGTTCGAAGAAAGAGGAAGTTTGGATCGGAAAGAATTCGAGTTTCGCGGGAATGCAGGCGAATTTTCATGAGGCGCATACGTATGTCGCGAACTGTGGAAACTGCATTTATCATTGATCGTGTAATTCATGCTTACAAACTGGTTGTTCCGCAATTTCGTGAAACTTTCCACGACTATCAATTCCCGCAGTGGCGAACTTATGGTGAGCCAGACTTACAAACCAACCACGTAGAATCTTTACCCTCTCGTTCTCATGATTATTAAACGCGTACCTCTAGACGGTGAATTTTCTCTGATAAATTTCTTACGCGAACTTTGCAGCCAGACCGTCAATGCCGACTATTGCGCCGATGAGTTTCTTTCTCACGCGGGAATTAGAGATTACGCGAACTGCTAATTGCGAATCACCGGTGAATCGATCACGTTCGCTTCCAGTCGCGGTGATCTTTCACTGTGATTTTTCGTGATCGATTAGAATTATAACAAATCGTGCTTCTGTAATTTATTTTTTCTACTGATTTTTAAAAACACATTAATGCACAGTAGAGATCAAGAATTACGATCACGGTGAACAAATTCACTCAAAAAAAAAATCACGATCATCGTGATAAATCACTGTTAGTGATTTTTAATGAGAATGTTTAGTATGAATCATTTTTAAACGTTCCATAAGGAATTTTATTATAGTTTGTAGTAGTTAACTTCACTTTTGGAAGTTTTTTAAATTTTAGTGTCAGAGCACTTGATTGATGCTTACCTTTTTATATATAAAATAAATTTCCTTAATAATTAGTCTTGTAGGAAGCAGGCATAATGAAAGAATCGCGAACACGGTCAATCGAACCTTCTCGGTGTACAGTAAATTCTCTACAAGTGTCAGTCAGTTTGTGGATTCTACAAGTGTCAGTATAGATGGTCCTACTAATAGAATATATTAGTAGGTCCTACTAATAGAAATAATAGAAAAATATAATTTCTTTAATTTTACTTTTTTTCATCTGAAATTTTTTTTAACATGTTGCTGAGATTTTTCTGATGAAAATGATATCAAACACGATACAATTTGAACAACATTTACTTATTAACACGTTCACTGTCTGGCGTGACAAAACGTAGTCCCTGACTCTACAAGTGTCAGGTTTAGGTTCCTTGCGGACTGACACTTGTGGAGAATCTACTGCATTCAGCGCAAAAATTAAAGAAAGTTGTGCAAAATTTTATACGATACATTTGTTTAAATATTATTTAAAAATTAAACGATTGTTGAAGCGTTTCATCGAAGAAAATCGTTCACCCCGATTAACGTTTGAAAAACCTCGATGTATCTGGAATACTGTATAAATTCTCGACATGAAAAGTAATACAATATTCCGTTCTCCTGTGGAATTACATCGAAACGCAACTGCATACACTACTTGAAACAGGCCACTCGTAACTCACAACAGTTTTTTAATGAAAATACGTTTTGAATAAATGTTACGTGATATGAATTACGTGTGTCGTTAAGCGAACTATTCAATAAAAGCAACTGCTTTTTTTATCTGCATTGGATTAGGAAATGTTGGAGAATAATATGCCGATTTATTTGATAATGTTAAATGAAATCACTGGTAAACGTGTTCTTTCAATTTATTAAAATTATTTCTGTGAATATTTGTCCAAATGTAGTAATTACTATTCTGAGCGAAGAATATGGTCTTGCAATTATTTCAAATGAAATTCACAGAAACTGTTGGAAACGTGTACTTCTAAATCATTAAAATTACAATTAATTATGATTATTAAAATTGCTTCTACGAATATCTGCCCAAATTGCAATATTTTTCACCAAACACACTAATCATCATTCTCAGGATTGAATATAGCGATAAAATTATAATACCCTTAAATTATTTCAAGCAAAATATCTTTTCCATGAAATAAGAACACCCTAAATCATATAAATAATTCACAGATAGAAATCCATTTCTATACCACAACACACAAAATCTCCATAAATCACAAATGTCAGATTCTCAAGTCCTCCCAATTTATTCACAAAAATGATAAACAATTTTTCTGCAGATTTAGACAAAAATTATTTCACTGGTTAACTGACCAAAAAAAAAGAGAAAAGAAACTACTCATAAATTTGGCGGGAACTCGACCGAATTAATTTGTCAAAGTTTCGGAATAAACTTTAACCGGAGCTTCTTCTTCGCGCGAACCAGAGGAACAGAAGAAAAGAAGAAGCGCTCGTTAAAAGAAGCTGAGCCACAGCTTCCGCGAGACGATTGTTCCACGAGGTAGAAAACTTCGTGTCGGTGATCGGACAGAGTGTGGAAATACGCACGCGCTTTGATCCGTGTGAGTGGTAAAAGTGCGTGTGTGCGATCGATGATTACCACAGAAATTGGCGAATCCGCGAAAAAATGGTATATCTAGGGGATTTGGTCGCCATTATGGAGGAACGTGATTTTGACAGGGACACCATCGACACGGACTCCCTCGAGTCTGAGGTAATGGAACTTGGTTTACCTTTTATTTTTATGGTAAACGAGAGATATGTGTGTCGCAGCTGATATTGATCTTCGGTGGAAGAAGAATTGTAGAATTATTGTTAGGTTTAATTGATGAATCTCACTCTATTGGTAGCTTCTAACAAAATCCCTAAAATTAAGGAGGAATCTAACGAATAAGAGTTTTCGTTAGACCTACTAGATCATCCCCTAAGTTCGTGCCGAATTTTCAAATTTAGATCAACATTCCAAAGAAGCTTTAAAAATTAAAAAAAAAAAAAAGTAAGCGCCTTCCCATTGTACAACTTTTTTCTATTTCTTTTTGTAAGACTGTTTTTGCATTTCCTTATGGAGTGACCTAATAGATTTTGTATTTCATACGACTTCTCATACACTTAATTGGGGAAGGAAGTGCAATGAAGAAAAGGGAAATTTAATTATTGCCTCTTTTTAGAATTTGCGAATGGAATTATGAATGGAGTGTCAGTTATCTAGTAGTAGTATTAAAATTACTATATACAATTTATGTGTAAAAAATTATTCTGTTCGGAATTTAAGAAGCATATATACTTCTTAAATTTCAAACTGTAGAATTTTGTTTATATCTTAATTTTGTAATGATTCTTTAGATTTAATTCACATTCAGCGAGTGTGGTAATACTTACTCTAACGGAGTTCCAAATTTTGCTTCACCTTGAGAAAGGTTTAAATATATATTTTTCTTACGATTGCGTTGTTCTTGGCAGCTGCAATTTGTTACCGAAACGATTGTAAAATTCGCTCGTAACCATTTCGTATTTAGAGGTAAAGCATTACTGCTAGCATTAAATTCACGAAAAGAACTAAATATTGTACTTGAAAAATTCCTCGAAATATTCAAATTGCCGCTGATTATAAATAGTGGAGGTCTCCGGGAACGCTGAAAACTGAAGAGATTTTCTTCGTTGTTGTAAATCAATTTTCATTTAATTTCGTTGAACTGAAAGTATGGTACTTCGTTGCAGGCTATACAATTGTCATCGTGCCCAAAACAGTTGGATCTCAGCAACGGGGGTCTGTCAAGGGTTCCTGACAGTGCTCTAGCGTTCCCAGCGATAGAAGAGCTGGTGTTGAGCCAAAATCAGCTTACCAACACGAACAACAACCTAGCGCTGTTGCACAGGTATGAAGTTGATCTAAATGAAAATCAATATTGTCAATTTGAAAAAACATACTTTCTTCTGGACCGAATGATCACTGTTTATTTCGTCAGTTATGTTGTTTATAGTGTACGTACGCTACCGGCCAAACGTTTGGAATCACTGTGCATTGCAAGCTGCACCAAATTCTTGAAAAAAAAGTTTGCATTTGTAATAATTTTTTAACGAATTTGTTGTCACTCAAATCAATTTAAATGAGGTAAACTGCTATTGATCTCCACAACGTCAATTTCAGATCAATAAAGAATTAGTGGCGGATTCAATATTGATGCAAATTGGCAGGTGATTCCAAATTTTTGGCCGGTAGTGTGAAAATAATTAAAAATAGTAAAGTATTGAGGTAGTAAATTATTATAACAGTAAAGTATCATAATAGTGAAGTATTAAAAATAATTAAAAATAGTAAGGTATTATGATAGTAAAGTATTATAATTATTAAGTACCGTAGCAGTAAAGGTATTACAATAGTGAACAATATAAAGATAGTAAAGCATAAGATTATTAAAACTAGTAAAGTATTTGAATTGAAACTACAAAGAAATATTTTCTTCCCTTTTCTTCACTTCGAAGATAAGAATATTTCGTGAAAATGTGACAACAGCAGTGACATTTATTTATTTATAAATAGGAAAATCTAGGTGCCCTCAATTTTTCACCTTTCACCTCCGAATATTATTCACAAAACACAAAATTTAATACCAATATTTAACAATAATAATTCTAAAAGAAACTGTATACTAATTTCCGCGCTAAATTGAAGCACGCAAACTCCCTTCGAACAACTTCGCTCCTGTCAAAATTCAAAATCACAGTCCCATAATGAAACACGCATGTTTATCCGTTTACACTTTCCGTGAGATATCGCGCTCAAATATTTATACTCCCGCTTCAAGTGTATTACTTTAAGCACCTCGCCTGTATATTTCCAACCACTGATTATACAAACTTTCCCTAAATAGCTTCGTTACAGAGTCCGTTTTATCTTGGTGTAATTAGTAAACTTCCGAATTCCGCGTCTTTTTAAATGTTTGACTTATTAAGTGGAAAGTTAGGCGAACGCGAGGGGTTGGACGAGGAGGAGGAAAATAGGGGGTGGTGGGCGATAGAGAAACTCGATTGTTTATTGAAACGGTTAGAGGCAGTTAAGTTGATTAAGCTTCTTTCTAACGAAGGTTTCCGAAACTTCATATCCTCCATCTGGAGAGCAACGAGCTGAAGAGAATACCACGGGAATTACTGGAGCTCACCGGGCTGACCTACCTCAATCTCTCAGACAACAAAATCGAGAAGATTCCGGCCGACATAAGCCAGCTTATCAAGTATGTAAAGTCAATTTTACCAGATTCCGCTTGGGGAAACGTGTGTATGTGTGTTGTGTATAGGTATACATAGCTGCATGTTTCCTTATACCGAGGAACTATTCGTCGATAATATTCGAGTAATTGTTATGGAATATTTGGAGATCGGTAGATGCTTGTGAAAGAATGAATTAATGTTGATATCGAGAGGAATGTGTGTTTTAATTTTCTTTGCAGGCTCAGATAAGAAAGTTGTAAAATGAGAGGTGTACAATTTTCGTGAGTCGTTTGATCTAATTTCAAAAAAGTTGTGCTGTTTTAAAGGGCGTCTAAATGTTAATGAGAGTAGTTTTGTGAAATTTGATTATTTCGCATGAGAAACAGTGAATGAACGTTATTTGAATAGTGAATAAAGTTTTATTCGTATGCAAAATAATGAATTAATAATGAATAAAATTTTGTTCGTTATTGGATGTGAATTTTTTATTCTTTCATTTCTTTATTCGTGCAGTTGTTTATTTTAAGTATATATTGCTTTTCTCAGGTTTTACTTAATACACGGATTCTTTTTTATTTCTTAAATTTGGCTCTAGTAGGAGTAGAGCTAAATTAATTAAATATTTAACAGAAGTAGCAATTAAAAGAAGAATTTGAAGCTTCCATAAATTTTTGCAAAACAAGCATAAACGACTTTATTAAATACCAAGAATATTTCGAAATTGAGTTAACTTATGCCACCTGAAGTGTCGCATCAGCGTTTGAAAAATAATGAAATTTCACTGTTAAAAGTTTGCAATTTAATATCTGAAAAAGCGCTCGGGCTTACGAAACTGATTTCTCCAGGAACCACTGTTTCTCTGAACTATCGATAAATGCTGAACAGCGTGAAAGAAACCAGGAAATATGAGGTTTCTCGATTCGTGGTTTGACGTGAAATAGTTTGGCCAGAGCATTGAAGGATATTCCTGTTCAACGGAGAGAAGGAAAAGAAATATTTTCAATCGTATAAAAGAATCGTAATTTTAAGAAGTTCTTGACATCTTCTTGCCATGTACTGGCTGTGATTGAAGAATCACTTATCGAACGTGAAGTATTACATGAAAATAGAATCTTACTGTAGGAAATAATCTTATTTCTGGAAAATAGCGATTTTTGCATTAAAAAATCTGAAGCAAAAATGTAAACAATTCGTTAACTATGAAAACATTTATTAATATATTTTTTGTGACAAGTCAGTAATTGATGTAAAATTAATAATAATAGAAATTAGTATAATACTAACTCTTCCTAGAATTATACACACATAAACATGGTAATAATTTCTGTTATACTAATTAAATCATAAAAGCACTCTTCCTCTCAGTTTTTAATTCAAAATCATTTTGTAAGGGTGATTTTTCGTAACACTCTTTATTACAAAAAATAACCGTGGATTCTAGGTACAAATCGCCAGGGATGTACAAGTGTAGGCGCGACTCGGGCGGTCTTCAGAGAGAAGTCGCGGACGCGGCGATCGTCACGGGGTAGTACTCCGTGACACGGCCAGATTTTCCAAAGGAAGGGGGGGGGAGAGTGTAGAGAAGGAAGAGAAATTGTCGTCTATGAACCCGCGAAGGAGAGACGTCTGTTTTCTCGGGGCAGGGTGTGTGCGAGAGTTAGGAGGTGACCTAGAAGTGTCGCTATAACCCGCGTAGGAGCGTTTGCCTCTAGGAGGTGAGTGGGTGGGTAAGGATGATGTCGGGGGTAGAGACAGGACGGAAAACCCGGTCCTGGAGTCCTCGTTCGTACCGTACTGACTTTTTTGCAAGGCACTGAGTGTCGTCTGTAAACCCGCGTAGGAGACGTCTGCTCGATGTTTGCTATGATAGTCTGTGTTCGGCTTTTCCGGAAAGACTGATTTCTTACGGCGAAAAGCCGTCTTTTATGTTTTACTGGAGTTAGGTCCGACGCCTTTTCGCAAGTTCGGGGCGCGCGAGCCGCCATCCCACTACCTGAGGCTACGGAGGTCGCGTCGTACAGTTAGGCGAAAAATGCTTATGCTACAATTTTTAATTTAAAATATTTTTCAAGATATTTAAATTTCTTTTAT